GAAAGCGGTATAATAAAATCTGCCTCATCTGTGGGATGGAAGAGAGTGGAAAGAGAGCAGAAAAGCACAGAACATGGTGTGATTCATCAGCATTCTCTCTGCCAGTCCTCCACGATCCCTCTCCTGTGATGCTTTGCAAAGTTGAACTGTCCTCTGTATGATATCAGGTACCTAGTAGGCACCTGCGAATCCCACTGGCTGAATAATGGGGTTGTAGTCTATATAGCGAAAGGAAGTTAAAGGGAGCAGCTATAAACAAGTAACTTCTAAAAGGCAACAGAAAACTACTTTCTTTCTTTTTGAGAGGAGAGGGCGGTCGATGGGGAGAGGAAAGAGGCGGAGGGAGGAAGAGAGAATCTTAAGCAGGTTCCACGCCCAGCATGGAGCATGTAACAGGGCTAGATCTCACGACCCTGATATCATGACCTGAGCCGAAGTGGAGAGTTTGCTGCTCAGTTAACCAACTGAGCCACCCAGGCACCCCAAAAACTACTTTCTGAGAGCAATGTTTCCCAAAGTCCTCAGGCATCTTGCCTTGGATTCTGGGAAAAAGTTGGTTAGGGGACTGAATCTGCATGTCTAACATGAAACCCTGGTAGGTTTTATGCCTCAGGGTTAGCGTTTGCCTGCAGAGGCCAGGTAGGCAGGTAACAGGAGTGATGTCTGATGCGGGACACAGGCATACTCGGCAATGAGAGGTAGGAGTATCTTCCCTTCCACAGATAGGTTCTCTTGGATTCCCCCCCCCCCCCCCCAAAGGCAGAACCTCTTGGATTGTTTTGTCTTCTCATGCTTGATGGAGCAGGGGGTAGAGAGAAATAGTTTCTTTCTTAAAAGCAAGAATGTAGATATTGGAAATAAAGTTAAAAAAAAAAAAAAGGAAAAAAACAAAAGGGAGTGGGGAGCATAACTAACCCACACACCAACCAAGCAGTGACAACCTGATAATACCATGGGAGGTGGGACTCAGTGTCCGTGTTGGGGAGACCGCATGCATAGGCAATGTCGTGATAGCCTGGAAAGCGAGTCCAAAGGGGTAGCAATGATTTGCTCCTGCCCTGCTGTAGCTGTGTAGTAATATAGGTCCCAAGTTGCAATTCTGTAGCTTTTAAAATGTTGGTACAAAAAGTTTTAGAAACAATATTGGTCCAAACAAAACATGCCTGGGAGCTGAATTTGACTCTATCGCCACACTGGACCCGAGAATCTTGTTTGCAACTCTGAACGATCAAGTTTGAGCTCCCTGTCCCAGGATGAGGTCATATTTTAACCATTAGGGGAATGTTACCAGCACACACTCTCAGTGTTCTACTAGGATGTGTGAACTCTCTGAAGACAAGAACTTTGTCTTTGCTGATCACAGTTGCAGCCTCTGTACTGGAAGTTGCCCGAGACAGAGTCGGTGCTCAGCAAATACACTTCAGTGAGTGTCACCAAGCCATTGCCCTCATCCGGCCGTGTTCAAGGCAGCAGAGGAGTCTCTTGGTCAAGGCAGTGTAGCTCTGGCCATTGGCTCCCAGGAGCAGGAACCTTCCAATCTGAAAGGTCTGCCGTGCTGGGATAGGGGTTGGCGCCAGAAGTCTGGTGCGGTTTCCAGGGTCTCGACACCAGCACTCAGCCTCATCCTGCAGTGTCCCTTTTCTGTTACTTCTTCGGGGATTGTGGCATTGTGACACATCTTCTCCCTGGGTTGGATAGGGCTTGGTCATGTGCGGAGAGAGAGGTGGCTGCCTCTTTTATAACACCACCAGCCGCATCTCAAATGATTTGGGAAACCCCTTTTCCATTGGTTGCATGGTTGAAAAGCTGGCAGAACGACTGAGGAAGGGGTGGGGGAGGCTGGGGCAGGCTACTCTGTAGTTTCATAGAATAGTGTTACGTACAGTGTGTTCTGTGGAATACCAGTAAAATTGGAATAGATATTATTTGGGGAAAAAAAAGGCAAATAAATCTGGAGAACAGGATCAACAAACAGGTTTCTTCCTGCAGGACTCCTCAGAGCCTTTATTATACTAATGTGCCTTATGAAACTCCACCAGCAAAATAGAATATGCAGTTCATCCTAGATTAATTTGGCCATGGGTTTTTTTTTTTTTTTTTTTTTTTTAATGACATGTCTTTTTAACAGCATCTTCCTTGGAAAACACTTCTTTGAAAGCCTGCTGGTTTCCCGGCTCTGGGAAGTGGGGCTCTACTGTATCACAGGTCTTGAGACTTTCTCCCTGCCTAGAGGCAGGGTCTCTGCTTGCAATCTCTCCGGGTAGAACCGGAGGTTTGGGCTGACAGCGGTGACCTAGGCATCAGGCATCAGGCATCAGGGCTGTGTGCGGGCCCATTTTGCCCATGTGAGCACTCCCTTCCCAGCCTTCAGCCTGGCTGGAGGGTGTCCACATGTAAGTGCGACTCCCCAGGCTTCATGAATGCGAGCAAGGAACACCCCCCTCCTGCTCCAAAACCGATGCCCTGGACAATTCTGGGCTGAAATTAACGAGAAAGGTTGTACCTAAATTTCCACTTGCCCTCCCCCAGGAATACAGTGCTGAGCCCTGGGGTTCGGAGGGCAGGCTCATCTCTGGACACAGCTCTAGATTAAAAGCGGCAGTCAGGACCTCCTCTCCTTCCTGATTCCTGGGCCCTGGGTGGACATAGGAGGGCTGGGGGAGGGGCGATGGTGCCACCAGCTTTGAGGATGAAAACCCTTGGAGCCTAGGATGCAGCCTGGAGAAGCAAAGGCCTCTGAGGGAGGTAGAGTATGGTGCCGCAGGGAACCACATTCTGAGCGTGCCGCTGCTATGGGGGAGAATTGCCAGGAGAGGGCAGTGCAGTGTCCTCCGGGTTCCTCTCCTTAATCTCTTTGTCTTTGAGCCAGACACGTATGCAGTGTGTGTGCCAAACGTGGCTGTCTTCCTGCCCAGGCGGGTAAGCTGAGGTCACTCAGAGAGCCTTCTACTTTGTTGCCTTCCATGGGTAGTCAGTTCAACAAGGGGTAGGCTGAGGCCTCCCAATTTTCTCCGGTCCAAGGTCCCACTGACCACTAACCACGGAAAAAGAACTGAGCACCAGAATGATGGTAGGTAATAAGATTTACTGAAAACTTCTCGGCCACATTCAGTACTGGTTTGGTGGATACATCAGAAGGAGGTTGCATAACATTAGGCAGGTGGAGGGGCTGGGAAGAGGATGTGTGGGCATGTGCGCAGGTGTGCCTGTGCTGGGTGGGTTGCTGTTCGAAGTGGTAGGAGAAAGAGTGAGTGTGTGTGTGTGTGTGTGTGAGAGAGAGAGAGAGAGAGAGAGAGAAATAGAACAAGAAAAATGAACCAGAAAAGGAAATGTATTTTATCCCACTGCACATTGCAAAAGTCTCACGCCAAAAAAGCTAGACTTTCCTCTACTTATGGCATCAAAAGGGAGTAAAAAATGATTGGATCACCCAGATTATAAATAAGGTTATTTGTTTCTCAAAAATCCCTATTAAAACATTAAATATCAGCTCTTTTGGGGGAGAAATACATTCATTTCAGGGAGACCTCAGGAGAGCGACCATCCTTTTGCTCCACCCCAACCAGGTGGGGGAGGGGAAGCCCCAGAAGGCCCTGAGGGTCCCCTCAGCTTGAGCCAGGTGGCCACTTGCATCCTGCCACTGAAGGAGATGGCCAATGCACGATTTACAAATGAAACTGCAAGTCCATTAAATTAAATCCAATGGAAAACACACGTGTGAGCAGTCTTGTCATTCACAGCCAAGGGGTGGGAGGGGAGGAGGGGTGCCAGTCATGGGGGCCTGGAAGTTGGGGTAGGAGGGTGGGAGTCAGGGCAGGTGGTGGCAAACCTCCTCCTTGAGGGAGCCCTAGTTCCTCCAGTGCTATGTGTCGTGGTGGGGTGGGGGGAGATCATCAAGGGGTGTGGGGGAGGGGCACCACTTGGCTCTGGGGCACCATTTCTCTGGGCCCTTGCCCACACTTTGGATGCTGATGGGAAGAGGGATGTAGCACCTTCTCCAACCCCTGGCTTCCCATTGGACTGGATGCTTCTTTCCAATGTTTCTTCTGCCTTCTCTGAAGGATAGAATGAAGAGAGAATGGGGGCTGCTCTGCCAGCCCAGGAGCAGGGGGACAGCCATGGGGGGCTGAGGGCCAGGACATCTGAGGAGCTCCATTTGAGGGCTGGAACAACTGGGATAAGACACCATTGTCCTGTTGCTACAGGAGCTGAGTTCTGTGACCACCTAGGGATGGCTGTGGTCCCCAAAGTCACCTTGATATGGCTCCTAGCTCAGGTTCTGCCATCTCCTTGGGTCCTGGAACCGACCCAGGGGAAGGGATTCCTCTTAACGCCCTACAATCCGAGCCTTGCCAGATTACCATTCCTTTCCAGGAGAGAGAGAGAGAGAGAGAGAAGGTGGCTGTGGGGGCTCCTGCCCTCTCTTCCAAGTCCATGGTTGCTCGTGCCTGAGACAGGTCCTTGGAAGAATGAGCCAGAACCCTCGGGGGCCTGGGTCCCACTCCAATCTGCAAGATGTGATGCCTCAGGGCCTCCCCCTCTGCTACAGCCACTGGTGATGAGTCTGGGCTCTTGCCCTTGAATGTCTGTCGAGGAGCTGAGAACCTCATGGGGGTGGAACCCAGACCCCCTTGACTCTCCCTTTCCTCCTGACTCTGTCCCTGGCGAGGCTCACTCTGAACAGCACTGCTCTGCCTCACAGCGCAGGGCTTGTAAACATCTCAAGTCCTTCAGTTTGGGCAGGGGCATGGGTGCCATCTGTCCTCAGGGATTCGTGAGTCCAGCTCTCACTCCTGCCTTTCCGCGTAGGCTGCGTGGCTGGCCCCGCAAACGGAGTCCTCTGCAGGTCTAGGGAAGTGGGGCGGGGGCGCTCACGGAAGCCTGGGAGTTGGGAAGGAGCAGGGGTCTCCTCAGCATTTCTTCAAGCTACTGATTTGGGGAAGCTAGGGCCCAACTTCCTTGGCGCTGCCTGTCCGTGCCCCCCCCCCCCCCCCACCCTGGAGCCCTCCTGACGACACTCCTGTCCTGCTCGGTGACCAGTGCCATCTGGGCTGCCAACTATTCCAGGGAGTCACTGTGTTCCAAGCCCAGGTCGCTGACATTTGTTGTCTGAAGCTCGTCGGCCTCCTCCTCCAGCTCCTCTTCCTCCTCCTCTTCCATCTCATCCTCGTCCTCCTCTTCTGTCCCATCCAACGAGTCGTCATGTGCGGCCATCATGGCCTGCTGCATGGCCATGGTGGCATTGTCTGAGGACAGGGACTGCAGGTTGTCCAAGCTGATGGAACCTACGCGAGAGAAGAAGGCAAGGGTCAGGCTCGGGAACCTCGGTGTTGGGTAGAGTTGGGGGGACTGGCTCATGGAGTGGTCGACAGTTCCCAGGTGTGAAGTCGCCCAATCCACACATTTGTCAGCCCCTCCTGGCTCCTTCCCAAGAAGTGGTGCTCCGAGTTACCACCCCCAGGCAGCGTCTACGGACGTTACATACTTGGACTTTCCAACAATTCTGTAGGGTGGGAGTTACCGTCCCCATTCTACCGAGGAAGAAACTGAGTCTCAGATGGTTAAGGCATCAGCTCAAGGTGACAGTCAGGCATGATGGAGTTGGGATTCTCCCCTTGGTCCGTGTAGCTCAGAATCTGCTAGAGCGGACAAGGCAACTGCCCAGCATGGAGAACCCAAACGCAGCTGCAGAGATGCACGCGGAGGTGTGTACGTGCACACGCACACCTCCACCTCCCACACACAGCTGTCTTCACGTGCCAAGCTATAAAATGTCTGGCTCAGTGAATTATTCATTGTGCACCAGGCGACCAGCAATTAGGAAAGTGTATGTGGAGGGTGTGATGGAGAAGCTGGGAAAACAAAACTCTTCCTGGCCTCCGTTCACAAGCCAGCTGCCTGCTTCGGTATTTATAGATGGCCCCGGCTCTGGGGGAGCTGGGCAGACACTCACGGGCGCGCCGGAACTTCAGGCGGGTGTGGGAGTGAGGAGGGGGCTCTGCTGAGCAGTCACTGACTCAGATGACCACGGACTCCCACTCGTCTTTGTGAGGTTGCTTTTTGGTTGTGAAAATATATGCAAAAGCATCCCCTTCTTTCAGGCCCGCGCACTTCCTTGGAAGGAGAACACGGGTGTGACCGAGCTGCCACTGCCACATAGGCAGGTGGCTGCTCAGCCCTGGCGTCTTTGTGGAGCCTGTCCAGGAGGTCCACCCACCAGCGCCAGGCCACAGTTCCCCCGCCCCCTGTTCTTACCGTCCGGGTTCGTCCCTGGGGCGCCGCCCTGCTGTTGCAGCACACCCGCAGCAATGGAGTTGGGCCAGAATCTTTGGGTGGGCCGGTGCTGCGACTTGATCTTCTTGGCTTTAGGGGCAGGGTCTGGGTTGCTGGCATCAAGCATGGGCTGCAGGATGCGCCTCCGGGCGTTGATGAACCTGCCCAGGGGTAAAGGTAGGGACCTAGTTAGTACCCCCCTGGGGCTGTGGGGTGTGTGTGCGCATGTGCAGGGAGTGAGAGCTGCTTCCAGACTCTCAGCAGCTGATCCACTGTACAGAACAGACTGGGGGCTCGTCTAGGGTGTGAAAGCCCAGCTGGGAGAAGAGCCCTGGGCACTGCAGGGCTCAGGGAATCTCCTGGAGCTTGGTCACCACAAAGCAACAAGGGAGGGACGCATGAGGAGGGTCAGAAATCTCTACTCAGGACTCATCAGGATTGAACAGAGGAAGTAGGGGGCCCCTAAGAAGCACTGAACTCTGACTTCACTCCAGGGCCCAGGGCTCAGATCAGGGGGCCCAAATCTTGGGTCTACCCTCTCCCAACCAGACCTTGCTCTCTCAGATTTCTGTGACAGCTCAGCCAGACACACAGAAGGGGAAAACATGCCTGTGAAGTCAGAAGACGCAACTCTCCCTCCTCCTTCCCACCCAGGCTTTGCAGAACGTTGTAGTTCTTCAGTTTACGGAGGTGGTGGGTAGACTAGATGACCACCGGGCGCTCCTCCAGACCTTGGCTGTCTGCATTCCCTTGTGTGTCTGCCCTGCAGGTGGGGCCAGGCTTTCCATTCAGCCAGAAGCTTCCAGTGATGTTCCTGACACAATCTCCCAGCAGAGGGCGCTAAGAAGCTGCAGATGAAGCTCTAGGAGGTTGGGTTGATTCTAGCTTTCTGCTTCTAGCCCAAAGGGGAAGACTGCTATGGTAGAGCGGCTGGGCTAGGCTATCTCTTTCCCCTGCTGGCCCTCGGATCTGAGAGCCTTTGCACGGGTGATAACTCACCAGTTATTTACTTGCAAGAGGGTGAGGTTTGTCTGGGCCGCAATCTGCCTCTTCTCATCCTCCGTAGGGTAGGGATGCTGAAATGAGAGGTGAAGGGCTAATGCAGGGTGGGCACATGGTGGCCTGGTCCCCCTAGAGACCATGTCTACATCACAGGCGCTATCCTGACCCAGGAAGCCCAGCGGTTTAGGAGCCTAAATCGGGGAAAGTACAATGTTTGTTTCCCAAAAGTAATGGAACGAGGGCCTGGGGGAGGCTGTCCCATGTCTGTGGCTCCATAGTCAGGAACACTGCCCACCCCCCTCAAGATGGGGGACAACATGGGTTTCCCAAGATCAGCAGAGCTCCAAAAGTGCTTCCAATGCACTTTCACATCTTGACTTTGTCCTCACAGCCAATCCCCAGCAGGCAGGTCAAGCATCGTTAGTATTAGGTTGACAATGGCCCCAAAAGCCTACAGGACTATCAGAAGGTGGTATATGGGGGTATCTGAACCAATTCAATTTAAATGGACTGAAATTTAATGAATATCTACTCTGTGCCCAGATTTATGCTGGCATCCCAGGAGACCGAAGATGAATATAACAGTAACTATTAGTTGTAGAATCCTCGGCAACCTAGAAGGTTGTCATGCACTTAATTTCATTTAACAAAGCACATTGCTCACATTTGATAAGGTAGGCAGGTTAAGTATTGTTATTCCCACTTTAAGCTGAAGAAACCGAGTAACTTCTCTGGTGTTCCCCCAGGGGCTGGCTCCAGCTTGGAACTCAGTTCTTGTCGTTTGTAAGACTGAGTCCGTGTCTTTGTGGGGGTGAGGGAAGAAGGGGTGTCCCAGGGCACTTCGGTCCCTGCACTGATGACAGCCTTGTCTCCCGCTCTTAGACTGTGCTTCATGAGGGCAGAGACCATGTCTTATTAATTCGTCTTATTAATGTATCCCCAGTGCCTTCCACATGCAAATGACATGCAAATGACTCCTGAGTGAAAGAAAGCAGAAACAAAGCAAAGGTTGGGTAGTTTGGGTAATAGGCTCTAGAGAAGGTTAGAAGGAGAAATGGGTTGGCCAGAGTGTGGGGAAGGTTGCACAGGTCACATTAAGAATGGGAAAGTTTTGGGTGGTGGTAGAATAGGGGTCCTTTTGGGTCCCACTGGGTGGTGAGCTGCGCGGTAACTGGGTCTCTGCGTCTTTGTGTCTTCTCCAGGTCCCTGCACCCACACCTCGCATCCAGCAGGCATGTGGTGAAGAATTGATGAGGCTCCGAGTGGGTGGGAGCCTTGCCCTGAAGCGAGGGGAGGTCTGTGGACTCCTAGGGCAGAGGGCCAAGCTGTCCAGCCTCTTCTAGCCAGGGATATTCCTCGTGACTGAGGTGGCGTTAGAAAGAGCTGCTTGGGCTTTCCAAAGTCCCAGAGACTGGGACTCAGATTCTGGCTTGGTCACGTCATGCTGTGAGGTCTCAAGCATGTCCCTCAGGCCTACATCATAAAGTCGCCCTAGTGATGAAATGAAATTGTACTCATAACATGCTCACGAGGAGATGGCTCTTCATGCTATTATTATGGGATGATGTGGGCAAGGTGCTTCAGGCTAAGGAACGAGCATGAGAGTGGCTGCCTTGGAAGTGCTCTCATTATCAGCGACAAAGGCAAGCAACCTCTGCAGCTGGCCCCAGCACTCCCTGACCGAAGCTGTTAGGATCATGTGTTGTTCTAATTCACACCTCTGACCCTGACCACCATGCCAGGGCAGCTGGGCCTTGTGATTCATACATTAAGATTCTAACAAGCAGGAAAACACATCAATGTCAGGGGAGCCAATTTCTTCCTAACTGGAAAGGAACAGAGGGAGGCTGGGGGGCGGGATCGCAGGCCCCAAGGGGCAGAGGAGCAGGGGCTATCCACTTCTGACACCTTCTGGGGAAGAGGTGGGGCCCAAGCCCTGTTTTCTGACTCCATGGAGTTCCAATTTCCCTAGCTGTGAGGAGCCAGACAGCCCCCCTGTCTATGGCCACTTGGTCCGTGAACACAGCAAAAATATGGCAACCATCTGGCCTTCCCGGGCTGCACTGGGCCCTTAAGTGCCTTCTTGTCCTCGCATCTGTCATTCCCTCCGCTGCAATGCTCTTTCCCCCACTTTTCCACTGTATGTGCCTCTGAGCTTCTGGGAAGACCTGCCACAGATCAAATCCTCTGTGAGCCATTTCCCAAGTTCTGGGGCAGAGTCCGTCACGGCTGTGTTTGAATAACGGCATTCAGCCTGCTCTATGGTAAGAGGTCTCCCTACAAGACTGGGGAGTTGCTCTCAGGTGGGAACCTGGTCTTAGCAGACATGGGATCTCCAGTGTCCAGCCCAGGCAGAGTAGATGGTTGGTGTGTTGGGTATGGACCACGCGAGGGAACCGACACAGGCAGGAGACGGTCGCCTTATTTCCCGAGCAGAGCACATGGCTCATCAGCTGACAGGGAGGGGAAGCTGCTGCCTCCTGGATGCTGGCAGGTGGGAGATTCGTGCTGTGACAGCTCACAGCTTAGGGAGAAGGCTGCAGACAAAGGGGAAGAAACCCCCTTTAATGGGCAGTGTGTCTGTTCCCTTGGGTGGTAGAAAAGGGTGGGCCAACTGGTCAAGGAGGACTTCCTGAGTGAGGTGGTACTTCAGCTGGCCTTTGAAGAATGGCCAGGCCGTCCCAGCAAAGGTGGGGATGGGCCTTCTAGGTAGGAGCCTTGTGCCAAGACTTACACTGAAGCCAGCCAGACCACGTCTCTTCCACTCTTAAAGACCTCTAGGGAAGGAAGTTTCTCCCATGGAGGGATCATGTGTGCTCTAAGGAGGCTCCTGGTACAGCCCTTCCTTCTGAGTGGAGGGTATAAATTCAGAGGTTAACGTGCCCCCACTGGATGGAGAGTGTGGGAGGTGGGGTCGGGGAAGGCAGCTGGCTGTCCTCTTATGGAGAGAGTTAGAAGCTCTTCTCCTCCCACTGCCCAAACGCCACCACCCATCCCATCTGCATCTTAGGAGGCACGTGGTGGAGGCCGTGGGGGAGAGTGGCAGCTTTGGCCCGGCTCTGGGGACAGGTGTGTTGGCCAGAACATTCCTGGCACCACATCTGAGTGCTCCTAGGAGCAGTCGAGCTCGTACACGCCTCAGACCAGATGATTCCTGAGGACAGAGTCAAAATAGTCCTGGCCCCTGGACAGACCTCGATTTGGTTAGTGCTCCTTTTAGCACAATTGGAAAGGCTCAGGGCCAAGGACAGGAGGAGGAATCAAGTGAGATCACAGTAAGCCATCAGGCCATAGTAGCCACTCTCTGGCCACTATTTGGAAGAGCTCCTCTGGAGTCAGGAGGGAAGCAGGCAGCCGCTCTCTGGAAGCAGATAATCCTTCCAGAACAAGAGATATAGAATGAACCAGAAAATGACAGATCCTTCTCAGGGCGGGCTTGGAGCCTTATATAACTATGCAGACCTGCCTGGTGGTCAAGTACACGGCCTCAGGAGAGGTCAAGTCCTGCACACACACCCCCCCACCATTCACTAGCTCTGGGAGCTTGGCGATTTGTTGTTCTACGTCTCCTATCCTTAGTTTCCTTGGCCTTAAAAGGGAAATAGCAGAACAGCACGTACCTCTCCGGCTCGGGGGCTGATCTAACGAGATAATGCAGGTAAAGTGTGTGTGCTTCACGAACTCCCTCTGGACACCAGAGAGCCAACTGTGCAGTCTCTAGAGAAGGGAACTGCAGCGTTTACACAGAGGGGGTGTTTTGTGATGGCCCAGCTGCCATCAGGAAGTTCCTCCGAAATGTGACCTAAACTCTTTCCGACACCTTGCTTTGGGGCCTCCTAGCTTAGGTCTCCCCTGCCTTAAATTGAAGCTGAAGACATCTTTCAGATGAAGGGTGAGTTCCACCTGGGGAGCTGGCTCTGGAAGAAGTGTGGCCAGGGCTGGTTCCTGGATCCCCTGCTCCTTCCTTCACCCTGAGCCCACCCGAGATTATCCTCCCTCCTCCTGGTGCAGGCAGGTGACCACGAGGCTGGCCAGTCATGGAGGGATGGGGCACAGGGGAAGCGGAAGCCGGCCTTCCGTCCCCGGGCCCCCACTGCACTGGCGTCAATGACAGCCCTCTTCCCTTCTCGCTCCCGACCAACTGTGGGCACGCACCCTGCAGCAGCTCCAACTCTGTGGGCCTGGCCTTGCTCTGGGAAGGTCAGACACCAACCCGATGGAGGCAGCTGGCATGGTGAGGAGTCCTCAAACAACCACATTTTATCACATCTGAGATGCCATCGATGGCAGGGTGCACCCTGATTTCACAGATGGTAAGTGGGGGAAAAAAACGAGCCTTTTAGGGCAGAGAGAAACCCAGTAAATCACCAGAGGAACTCTTCTTTCTTATTATCATGCACCTCGTGCAGACCTTCCATTCTTTTATTGCTCCTTTTTACTCCCCTCTCCTTTACAATTGTACCTGCACAGAAAGGTCCAAAGAAAATATATAGTTTTATCTATTATCTATTAATCACAAGTGGGACCCCCACCCAGGTCAAAAAATAAGATACTAACAGCACCCAAAGCCCCCTTTGTGCCCCTTCTCAATCATTACTCTCAAAGATATCCTCCCCGAAAATAACCTGTTTTTTATGGTAATTTCTTTCTTTCTTTTCTCTGTAGTTTTCCTATCTATGTTACATCCTTAAAAAATATAGTTTACTTTTCCCTGGTGTTTGGACCCTATATAAATGGAATCCATTAGCACACAGGATTTCACTCTGAAGTATAGGTGTGAGACTAATCTACATTTGTTTGGTGTTTCTGTATCTATTCATCTTCATCGCTGCATAGTTTTCTGTTGTAAATATTTACTGCCTTCCTATTTTTCACCCTCCTGCAATCTTGGAACTATTCTCCCTCCCTCTGTTTTCTATTTCAATCCATCCTTCATGCTGTAGCAAGCAAGACTGGTCCTTCCTAACCTGCCCCCAGTGCCTCATGCCCACTGGGACACCTCTCCCATGAGCTGGAGCACTTACCCCATAGGGTTCCATATGCTACATGGACGATTTGTTTAGCTGTCACCCCA